TCCCAGGATTTAGGGCTCATGGGTCTAGAAATCAGTGCTGAGAGGTACAATTACTTTATCTCATCACATCTGTGGGGACAGTGCACATTTCTTTTTCATAATTTTTCTTCCTATCTCCACAACCTTAAGCTGTAATCAGTTAGGAGAACTGGTCCTCAGGAAGCAAGGTTTACATAAGGTGGTGACAAGAAGGATTTCATTGAGTCAGAGAATGTGATGACAGCCTGATTCATAAAAATTCCTATAAACGTGGATCATCAAAAAAAGAAAGTGTTAGAATATGGATGATGGTGTTTGACTTGTGTCCTTCGGGTAAAGTTGCTGCTACCAGCAGAGACAGAGAGGAGCCACCTTGACCTATGCAGAGTGTGGGTATTTCTTCTGTTGCATTCACCATGGTCTAGGGCAACTGCATCAAACACCTGACAGTGCCCAAGTCACCAAGGACAATGGACACTTAGTGTTTAAGGCCTAGATCATCCCACCAGCCTAGCAACACAAAGTCATCACCAACACCAAAGTGCTGGCCATGACTTAGAGGAATCTAGACTGGACATGAGAGGGGATAGTGACGAGTGTCAAGTGGTGACCCCAGGTACAGCCACAGTGTGGACAGTGAATCCTGGTCCACCAACCCTCACACTGTGACTTCCATGCACATTGGGACTGGCTGCTGTTTCAAAGCCTTCGTTGCAAAGTGGACTGAACGTTGCACTGTGTGGATCAAGTCATCAAAAGTGGACGTTGAGGGCTCACTCTAGTGGGTTCCTCTTGATCCCATTCATGTCCGCTGATCCAACAGGGATTATAGCAGCCATTGCATTAGATAGTTCTGTGTGTACGTGATTCACCTGCAGCTGGGACAGTGCTCAGGTGATGTACAACTTTCTCCATTGCAGTGGGGATTCTGAGGATCAATGTCTGACGAATCACTGAAGTGTAGAGACTTTAGTCCTTCCAGGGATGAAGGAGGGAGAAGCAGCGAGGCAAATGCTCCACTCCCAGGGCCCGAGGATGTTACACGGACTCTCCAGAGACCTTGAAGGGTGGGGCTCTACTTCCCAATGTTAGTGACCTACCTAAAATGAAGCTCCTTCACACACCATTGATATGATATTGAAAAAGATAAAAAGTTATTTCACTACATCTTCACCCTTAATTTCTCTGGAGTAGCCTTCTTATGAGATCCAAGAATAAACACCAATTCATTAAAATAAATAAATATAATAAATCAATTTAGAATATAGTTCACTGCGTAAGAAAATAAACATTTTCCTGTACTGGCATGCATTTTTTTACATTTAAGTTTTCTCTATTTTAGGATGTTTGAAATTCTTAGAAAAGTTTGAAAAAGTGAAACCTGGTAAACTCTGAGACGTGCATCACCCCAGGCACATTACGGTCCCACCTGTGCTTGCTTTCAATTTTGAAGGCTGTGCCCTTCCCAGAGTTCATGCAACCAACACATCCCATGATGTATCATCCTTCATCAGGGCTGAAGGATTAAACTCCACACACGTTACAAGTTGACAGATGGACACCGTATTAGCTGTCTAGGGCTGCCATAACAAAGCACCACAGACTGGATGAATTCAACTAAACATAAATACACAAAGTAATTTCACAATTCTGGAGACAAGAATTTGAGATCTAGGTGTCAGAAAATTTGATTTCTTCTGAGATCTCTCTCTTTGGGTTGTAAATTGCTGTATTTTTTCTGTCTTCACATGGTCTTTCATCTCTATATGTCTGTGTCTTTATCTCCCTTTCTTATAAGGACACAAGTCATTTTAGATTTATTCTCCCCCCCCTTTATGTTATTTTCTGTTAATGAATTTTTTTGAACCTATCTCTAAATACAGCGACATTCTGAGATGTCGGTTTTAGGACTTCAACATATTGTCCTTGCTCTTCCCCTGGCTGTTCTCCCAGGTCAGTCCAGGCACAGAGATTGGTTCACAGAGTGGAGTGGGCAGGAGGGGACCCCTGGTCTGAGTCCTGCTTCTCCCACACAGCTGCGTGTGCCCAGGTGCAGCTGGAGCAGTCTGGGGCAGAGGTGAAAAGGCCCGGGGAGTCTCTGAGGATCACTTCGGAGAATTCTGGATACAGCTTTACCACCTACTGGATCAGCTGGTTGTGCCAGGCTCCAGGGCAAGGCCTGGAGTGGTTGGGGAGGATTGATCCTGGTGAATCGGGTACGCCATATGGCCCATCCTTCCAAGGCCATGTCACACTCTCTACTGAAAAATCCACCAGCATCGCCCACCTGCAGTGGAGCAGCCTGAAGTCCTCAGACACTGCTGTGTATTACTGTGCCAGAGACACAGTGAGGGAATGTCAGCATGAGCCCAGACACGAGCTTCCCTACAGGGACACTCAGGACCACCAGGGGATGCTCAGGACCCACCAAGCTCAGGGCTGATTCCCATGGGCAGATGCAGAGGGGCCTGTGCTTTCTGTTGGGTACATCGGAATCATCCACTCTCCAAGTTCTCAGCTGTCCCCTGAGATGTTTTATGTCTTGTTATTTGTGTCTTTAATTCCTCCCGCCCTCACAGGGCAATGAAGGTGTATCTGATGTGGTCTATATGCAGATGAGATGTGGCAATGGGCATGCTGCCAGCACGAATCTGGACTTCACATCTTGGGCACGAGGGGTGACAATCAGCTCTGTATCTCATGAATATTCATAACCAATAATATATAA